ATAAAGGAACTTTATAATATAAACAACTATGGAAAAATGTTACCATTTATAGAATCTGGGCAAAGGGTATTTGTACTGATTTGGAAACTGTTCTGTGAATCTCAGGTTATTTAGAAGTAAAAAAACTTGATCATGTTGAAGAGGGAAGTGCAGAGCAGACTGAATAAAGGAGGAAGATATGATGCTCTGGTCCAGGTGACCAGGAGGAGGAAGAGACAAAGATCTGGCCACTACTCCGACAGTTCAGACAAATGAAGCACCGCCTCCTGACAAATAGATAGAGACAGGAGACACTGGTTCTTTTTAAAATCATGAACTGTTACCAATCTGGAAAACAAACAAACACACACCAACCCTCCCCACCCCCCACCACCACCACACACACACACACAAAAAGAAAAGAAACCCTATTCTTTTTGCCAAATAAAATATGGATTTTCCCTGTGAGAATAAATATTAGTGTCTGATCACATAAAGATATCTTATCAAGGCCTTGATGTTCACAAAGGATGAACAACTTCTCATAGCAATTGTTGGGTTTTAGAAGCACACATCAGCTGAGCTGTTGTTCCCCTCTCTCTGGAACATGGCAGATGGAGTCTGAAGTTGTCCAACCAGTGGAATGGAAAGATGCAATTCTTTGTGTTTGCGTCATTTAGTGCAGTCACCCAAACATGTTCCCAGTAGAGTGCCCTTTGTACAGGCTTAAGACAAGAACCACAGATGTACATAAAAGCCATTCAGCAAAATTCTACTCATCTGCATGAGCGGAAGAGGGGATGTTCAATTTATACTTGAAAACAAAAGGGTGCCTACTCCTGTTACTATGAATCTTGCTTTGATTAAATGCAATTATCTTATTTAATTCTTGCCATCTTCACACCTAGTGTTTTAGAAAAGGCAAAACTGAGGTTCAAAGAAGTTAAGCCTTTGCCTTAAGCTCATACCTGGTAGCAGAGTCTAGATTTGAAACTAGGTCCTGTTTATTTCAGATTTCCTGCTCTTTCTAAAACTCCATCTCATTTCCCTTTTCTTACTTCCTAAGAAGTATCTGCCTCAGTAGACACTGATCTTGCACTCAGTTACAGATAGGCCCCATAACTGTAAGACTAGCACTGTTCCCCTTGCAGGGAATGGTTCATGTTTGGGATTGCAACCCAATTTGAGCCAATAAAATATAGTAGTCCCCTTATCTGCAAAGAGATATGTTTCAAGACCCCCTAGTGAAAGCCTAAAACTGTGGATAGTGCCAAACTATATACAATGTTTTTTCCCTATACAGGCATACCTTTACACTTCAAAGAAGTACTTTAAGGCTTGTCTTTGTCAACCTCACTACTCTGGTGCTTTGGGGCCATGATTGAGTAAAATAAGGGTTACTTGAACACAAGCACTTCATTACTGTGACAGTGGATTCTGATAACCAAGACAGCTACCAAATGTCTAATGGGCAGGTAGTATCTACATCATGCAAATGCTGGGCTAAGGGATGATTCACTCACATCCTGGGCAGGATGGAGCAGGACAATGGGAGATTTCATCACTCTTGCTGCTCAGAATGGCATGTAATTTAAAACTTATGAATTGTTTATTTCTGGAATTTTCCATTTAATACTTTCAGACTATAGTTGACCATGGGTAACTAAAATCACAGAAAGCAAAACCACAGATAAGAGTGGGTTACTGTATGTATAGAAATTTGCTGGGCCTTCTGGGTAAGTTCTTCCTCAATCTCATGGGAGTGCTTGCAGAAACAAAGCCTTTTCTCCAGCTTGGACTCTAAGGAGAAATCACAGGGTAGTCACAGCTGTTGCTGGCCAACATCGTGGACTACAAGAGGGACCCGCCTCAGGATGGAATGATGCTGTGGATGATATGTAGAGATATGGAACAAGATACGGATTAGGAACATGGGTTCTTGATCATTGCTTCTACCCATGTTCTTGCAAGAGCATGTTCTGGACACTCTCTTGCTTTCCCAAAGACTCTGCTCCTACAGTTATTGCTGGTTTTCTTTCTCTTCATTGTCAATATCTCCCTCTATACTGGCTATTCCAAACATGGGTTGGATTCTTTTACATTAAAACAAAATAAATCTCTTTGACTTGGTCTTCTCTTCCAGCTACACCCCTTCCCCTGTTCCCCTTTTCAAAACTTTCTGTCTATACCTGCTCACTTTCCATTCACATTTTAACTTATTCTAGTCTGGCTCCTGTTATTACTACTCTCATAGAACTGCTTTACACAAGTCCACTGCCAGTGTTCATCTTACGAGTGCCAATGGGTATTTCTTTGTTCTCATTTTTCTTGATTTCCTTGAAGGATTTAAATGGGTAGAACATCCCCTCTTTCTTGGATACTTTCTATCTTGGCTGCCATGACTCCACACTCCCCTGGCCTTTCCGCTGCTTCCCTGTCTCCTACACTGACTTTCCCTCTGGTCTTGAATTTCTAAATGTTGGTTTGTCTCAAGGCTTGGTCCTAGGTCCTCTATTCTTCTCTATTTATTTCATCTCTTCTTATATTCATTCAACACTCAATCAATATTTGAGTGTCTACTGTATGTCAGACTCTGTTCTAGGTACTAGAAATAAAGTTCCTATTTTTATGAAGTATACATTCTAGTGGAAGAGAAAATAAACAAAGAGAAAACAACAAAATAAATGAATAATATCATGTCAGGTAGTGATAAGTGCAATGAAGAAGAATAAAGCAGTGACAGTGAGAATAATACTGTTTTTGGATAGGATGGCCAGGGAAAGATTCTCTAAGGAGGAGACATTTACATCTGAGAAAAGAGGAACGTGTGAAGAAAAGTTAAGGATAATTCCAGATTTTTGGTTTGCATGAAAGGAAAAATGATGGTGCCATTTATGGAAATAAGAAAGACTAAAGGAAGAGGAGATTTGGGAGGGGAAAATCAAGATGTCTGGTTTGGATTAAGGGGTCACCTGGGCACATTAAAGTGGTTGCTTGGATAGATTAAGTTTCTTTTGTGAATATTCCTTCCTCAGGTCTTAGAGAGACCTTTTCTGATCTCTGAGAGCATCCACCTGCTACTTCCTCTGCCCAGAGAGTCTCTGTCACCTTCCTTAGTTTATTGTCTTCATGCTGGTCACCACATTCTGTAATAACAAAGCTTGGCTATTGTTTAGCTATTCCCACTAAAAAGATATCCTGGGAAAGCAGGGACTGTCTGTCTTATTCATAGCTGCATCCCCTGGGCTTAGTATTGTGCCTGGCACAGGGTAAGGGCTCAACAAATAATTGCTGACTGAGAGAACAAAGGGTAGGCTAGTCCTCTGGAGAAGTCAGGACAGCTGGTTCTTGCCTGAGCTCAGCCAGCCACCAGCTATATTGCTTCGGGCAAGTCACCTCAGTGGTATTTTCTCAATTTCAGAAGCCGTTTGATTAGATGATTTCTAAGAGTTAATTTGTCCATTTTGTATGTTTAAAATTCAGGATTTTAATTTGTCCTGAACAAATTTGTACCCAGAATCTCATTCCAGTAATAACACTGTTGAAGGCCTTTCTGCTGCAGAATGAATGCAAATTATCTTTTAGGAGGACATTTACCACAGATATCCTACAGAGTTCTATATTCCCACTCCTGTCCCCCTAAATCCTCAGTCTCTAAAACCGTCCATTATGCCAGGATCCACTGTAGGAACAGGAAGAAACAATTGGAAATGAAGAAGTGAAGGAGTTCATTTTTCTGGAACATGATTGAGCACCTATTCACCAGTATTTCAAGCCTTTTGAGGTATACTGTTATATTTCACATGTATTTAGGGTTATTTGACTATTAAGGCATATTTTCACAAAACCTGGGAGGTAGGTATTAATACTCCCATTTCACTGATGTAGGAAATGAGGCTTAGGGAGACTGACTGATTTTCCCTAGTTCAAATAATGGCAAGTGGCAGAAAAAAGATTGGAGTCCATATTTCCCCACCTACACCCATATGCCCATTGGGCTTCCACCACGCCATTCATAGATGCCTATAGTCAACGGCAAACCCTCTGGAGTGTAATTGATTTCTAGTGGACTTGGGTCTCTCTGTTGAATCAACAAATGAAAATAAGTTGGATGAAAAAACACTCTCTTAGAACCCAGAGTTTACATTTCAACTAATCTGGGAAATGCTATAGCAAAGCCATTAATGACTATGTAATTGAGATACATAGGTAGGTGGAAATAATGCCACAAAAATATCAACTTGTTTATGGAGCAAGAAAGATTTCTGTTCTGAAATAGCAGGATTTCCCAGGGCTCCTTCTGGAGAAGCAAGAGGGGATGCCAGGAATATGTATTCCCTACATGGCCATCCATCCTAAGATCCTTCACTTCGTTTCCCTTTTCCTTGGCAACTTTTGAAGATTCACTTTCAAAAGAATCTTGATTTTGCCCTAGCTGTTTTGGCTCAGTGGGAGTGTCGGCCTGGGGACTCAAGGGTCCCAGGTTCCATTCTGGTCTGGTCGGGGCATGTACCTTGGTTGCAGGCACATGCCCAGTGTGGAGATGTGCAGGAGGCAGCTGATTGATGTTTCTCTCTGATCGGTGTTTCTAACTCTCTATCCCTCTCCCTTCCTCTCTGTAAAATATCAATATATTTTTTAAAAAAGAATCTTGATTTTAATTGGAAAGGAATTCTTTTCCCAATAAAGTAAAATTATCACAGGTCTGTCGCTCTAGTGCGTGTGTGTCCATGAGTGAAGATATGAACCTATGTCACAACAAATATGCAAAACTACAAATGAATCTTAGCGTTGGGCATGATTCTGAAGGAGTACCTTTTATTTTTAAACACACAGATCATTTGGCATTGATATAAAGCAGGGAGAAAAAAAGCAATGCAGGTGTGGTGTAATTCGTTTCTCTCTCTTCCAGCCTGGAAAAGGGGGTTGGATGCTGTGAACAGAGGAGGGTGTCATTTTTTACTTCCCTACCAATAAACAATGACAAAAGCAAACATCTAAGAAACAAAAAAGCAAGATCATAAATAGAAAAACCAATAAATAATATTTATTTTGTACAAAACGGCTGTGAAGTGTCCTAGAGTCCCCAGCGGGCAGCAAGCGCCCGCGGGCAGGGCCTGAGGCCCGGGCGCCCTCAGAGCAGCAGCAGGGAGCCCAGCAGCAGCTCGCCCTGGCCCAGCAGGCGGCCCCGCTTCAGGCCGCGGCCCTTGTCCTCGGCCTTGACGCGCACGGCCAGGCGGCGCACCTCGTCCTCCGACAGCCCCTCGAAGCAGAAGTCCTGGTCGAAGACGGCCTTGCGGCTCCGCCGGACCACGGCGCTGCGCTGCTGGCGCGTCTTGCCGGGCGGCGGCAGGACCAGGCTGACGCGGCAGCCCACGGCGCAGGGATCGGAGGCTGCTCCGGCCGGGTCCTCGGGGCGGAGCAGCCGGAGGCGGAGGCGCCCGCTGGCCGGACTGTACTCGGCGGCCAGGCGCAGGGCGCCGCCGGCGCGACCCAGAGCCACGGTGCCCTCGGCCTCCAGGAGCTCGGGCCGCGGGCCGGCGTCCGACGGAGGGGACGCGGAGCAGGTCCGGGCCGGGGACCCCGAGCTGGCGCGGCGTTCCTCGTCCTCGCTGGACACCGAGCGGGCGCGGGCCAGGCCGCGACTTCTCCGGGCCTGCAGCGCGCGGCTCAGCAGCCCTTCGGGGGCGCGCAGGAGGCGGTGGCCGCGAGGCCGCAGGGCGAACGTGTTCCGGGGCGGGAGGGTGTCTCCGGGGGCCGCGGGGCCGGGGGCTCCGCTAGGGAATCCGAGGGGCACGTCTCCGCCGCCGCCGTAGGTGTGGGCCCGCGGGCGGAGCACGGGCGGCTGCAGGAGCGAGGCGGCCCCGGGGTCCCCGAGGAAGAGCGACTCCTTGCGGCGGGTGTGCGGGCTCTCGAGCAGCGCGCAGAAGCCGTAGGCGGTGCGCGCGCGGGGCAGGTGAGGCAGCGAGAGCGCGGCCTGCGAGCGCGGGTCCCAGTCCGTGCGCCCCGCGCCGTCGTCGGCTCCTCGGGGCCACAGGTCGGGCTCGGCCGCGCACCGCCGGGGCACAGCGGCGGCCGGCGGCGGGGAGTCGGGCGCGCAGGGCGCGGACAGCCGCGGCGGGATGCAGAACTCGGGGATCCGGCCCGGGGTGAGCACGTTGGAGAAGGCTGGCTCTGAAGCTGCGCTGCCCGCGGCCGAGGCGCGGAGTTTCCCGAGGAGCCGCATTCTCCGAGTCTGTGGCTGCGAGTGGCGGGAAGAAGCGCTCCTGCAGGAGAGAGAAGACACTGAGTTTGGGGACCTGGGGTCCCTGGAGACATGGCTGGACCCCCTCCCCCGGACCCTCGGAGGGTACCAACCAACGCGCCTACCACCACGGCCAGCTGAGCGGAGCTCTCGCGCACCACAAACTAGCCCCGCCCTCCATTCACTGGTACTAACTAAACAAACGACCACATAGAAATCAGACCTTTTCTTATTCCTTAGTCACTCTGGGGCAAGAGCTGCAAGTTCAGTGTCCGCTGCCTCCACGTCCTGGCTGAGCCGTCAGCTTCAGCACTGTGGCCAGGGCAGTGGCGCTCCTCTCTTATACCGGTAGCCTGAGTCCCGCCCCCTGGCTGGGAGCCCAACTCCTGGAGGCCCTGGACAGCCCGCCTTCTAGGCCACCCCTTCCCGGAGACGCAGAGTGGCCCTGCAGCGGGTGCCGGGATGTGAGCGAAGCTGTGGCGGGAACTGGCACCCTCTGGTCAGCCCTGGGAACTGCATCCGCTCTGCGTTCCCCGAGCCCCTCACTCAGGCCTGTAGGTGAAACAAGGGCGCCGCACAGTCCTGCCAAGGGACAATTGGCAGCTGAAAACGAAGGCGGCCTCATGGAGAAGGTGAAACAGGATGAGGAAACAGGAAATTCCTTTTGCTAAGAGCTCAATTCTGTCACCCTGAACGTGACTTACATGCCCCAGGGATTTCTATTTTAGTGCTACCCCCCCGCCACCCCCCTGCACCTGCCATGTATAGACCAATATGGTTTCCATGGGATTCCTGTATTAGTTATTTATGTGTCTCCCTCTGCTGGACGATCGCTTCCTTAAGAGCCTGGCTCAGACAATGCATAAATACTGGTGAAGTGGGCGAATTAGTGTATGCAAAATTTTCTCAATGACTACAGGCTCTGCCTGTCGTCTTGACTATCACAAAAGAGGGGGCTTCTCGCTGATGCCCTAAACATAACACTTGATGTGTGTGTGTGTGCGTGCGCGCGTGCGCGCGCGCAAAGCTAGCCGTTTTCTCTCTGCTCCAGCTTGGAGGTATCCAGTTAGAAAGCATCTTACAGAAAACCTGGATTGCCTCTTTCCACCCACAACCTTTATTTTCTAAGCTGAGAAAACTGGAAGTCCAGAGGGACTTGAGGAAATTCCATAAAAGTTAAATAAAGCTAGTTAATGGCAAAACCTGGAACTAGCAATTTCCTGTTTGGCTTTGTGTGTGATGCTTCCTGTTACCTGAAATGCCCTTTCTCTGCTTTTCCTTTCCGTAGGAATTTGTTTATTTTCCATAATTCAGCCGGACATCATCCCTTTGGGACCCTTTACTCAACTGGCCCACCACAGTTCATCAGCCCCTCCTTATTCCCTCTATACACACACAGTCTATGTTTCACCTGCTGCATTTAGCATGTTGCTTTAGAATTTTTTGGTTTACAAGCTTGTCTGTCCTAATAGACAAGTTTCTTGAGGGCAAGGACGGGCAATTCAACCGGAGTGGAGTTTGGGGGACCTATTATGAATATATGTAAAATATATAAATGTTATGACCCAGAACCTGGATTTGCCTCCAACCCAGTTTCCTTACCTAAGGACAAGCGAGGTTGTCTTATTTATCTCTTATCCAATTTCAGCGCCTGGGGATACAATGCCAGGCAAAGAATAAGTGCTCAGTAAACATTTGATGGATTATATTATATTGAGCCTGATCTACAATCCAGGTCTTATGACTGTCAGGTGCTTGTAACTAAATATCTCTTTGTGTTATTCCATTTTTTTCTTACAAGCCAGCAAGGTGGACATTGCTTCTGTTGATCAGACGAGAAACAGGCTCGGTTAAGAGACTTGTTTAGGGTCATTCAAACTATGAATCATAGCCCACTATATTAAGTCCTAGTTTTCTGCTTATTCCTCCCTCCCTCCCTCCCTCCCTCCCTTCCTCCCTCCCTCCCTCCCTCCCTTCCTTCCTCCCTCCCTTCATTCACTCAGTTCATTGTAATTCACTGTCTATTGCAAAGCTAGCCCTTTTCTTTCTGTCTATTGTGCCAAGCATTGTGTGTGACTAGTGTTGCACTTTATACCAGAATTTTAATTCTTAAAGCAACTTAGTCTGCTATTAAATATTTCCCATTGTCCTTGCTTTGGAACAAGTATTATTATTTCCAAATTCTTAAGGAGAATGAATGTTTTCCCTGGGTTAGTAACCAATGCTTTTACTTTAGTATATGCTTTTGTCATGGGACAAGCCTGAATCAATATGCAGCCAAGGAGCAGCAACCATTCCTGCTGAAGCCTCACTTGGAAGCAGAGAAGTCCCTGGGGCTCTGCCCGAATCATTTCTCTTTGATTCTTCAGACCAATCTGCAAATTAGTGGGGAGAATGGCCTTCTCTAAAGCAGAGCCCACCTGTATTGTCCTGAATGTGCCAGCTCACTTCAAATTAGATCTCAATGAAAATGGCTTTCACGCTCCTAAAGTGCCGGGGTCCTGCCCCAGCAGGTCCAGGGGTCCCCAAAGGTGTGGATGGAGTCTGCGAAGAAGGAAGGACACGGAGAAAGTGTTCAGTTGATCAGCAGCCTAGCCAGGATCTCCAGCCAGGATCTCCAGCCAAGTTCTGGTCTGGATCTCCAGAGAGGTTCTGCTTAGGATCTCCAGCCAGGTTCTGTGTCCATGTTCTCTTGCTAGGTTCTCCAGGTTCTCTAGCCAGGTTCTGTAGCCATGTTCCCTTGCTAGGTTCTCCAGCCAGGTTCTGTCCAGGTTCTCCAGCCAGGTTCAGTCACCAGGTTCTAGTCAGGTTCTCTTGCCAATTTCTGTAGCCAGGTTCAGTCCAGGATCTTTTGCCATGTTCTCTCCAGCGAAGTTCTTCTGTCTCTAGGTTCTGTGTAGGTTCTGTCTTCTAAGTTCTGTCTTCTAAGTTCTGTGTGTAGGTTCTGTCTTCTCTTGGTTCTGTCTTCTTAGTTCTGTGTTCTAAGTTCTCTGTTCTTACATCTGTATTCATACCAGTTGATTCCAATCCTATCAATCTCTATTCCAAAGGTTAGGGTGTTTCTTATCTCCATTCCAGGGAGTAAAGATTATGTAGCTTAAGCATGATTGTTCATAGTTAAAGTGATTAATTACCCGCCTGGCACTTAGTTAAGAGGTTTTATTCCCTCCCTAACTTCAGGGGAAAATCCCTACCTGGGAAAACAACCTTTCTCAGAGAGGTGACCTTGGTTAAAACACATAGTGCCAAGAAGGTGAGCAAACATATTAAGAACAGTATGCCATATATGCCGGGTCCTTTGAAACAGCAAGGATGGACCGGCCCCCGGCAAATTCCCCCTTTTTTATTTTTTAAAAGGAGGCATTAAAAAGAAAAAAAACCCCAAATGCTCTCTTGTATCCATTTTAAGAGTAGGATTGGCGCTTTCCGCTACTACCTGAGTCCTGATCTATCACCCCAGGGAGAGCTTGCCAATCCTGCACTTTCCCGTGGTGGAAAGGCTGTAGTGGGGTTAAGGATAAGGCTCCTTGGGCCTACCTCCTCCCATGCCTTTACATTTACCTTTCCTTCCTCAGAAAAGCATGGACATACTTCTTGTATAAAACGTTCTGTCTGACTAGGAGTAACCTTAATTCCTCTACTAGCAAGCATATGTGTTAAAAGATCAATACAGAGTCTTATTTCTTTAGACTCAGTATGGCACATCTTCTTAATCTAAAGATCAATACAGAGTTTTCTTTCTTTGGACTCAGTATGGCACATCTTCTCAATCTAAGAATCAATACAAAGTCTTCTTTCTTTGGACTCAGTATGGCACATCTTCTCAATCTAAGTTCTGTACTATCCACCTTCTTACCCTAGTTATCCTCTATAGGGGGGTCTGAAGTACCCTGGTGGAGTCCTATCCATCCCGAATGTGGGGGTTCTCAATGGGGGGGGCTTACCTAGGGGAATCCTGTTCCAGGGGTTCCCAAAGGTGTGGACGGAGTCGGTGAAGACTATCCACCCTCTTCCTACGGTGGAGTACTATCCATCCCGAGAGTGGGGCTTACCTAGGGGTCCCTGTTCGGGCGCCATATGTTGGGGTCCAGCCCCAGCAGGTCCAGGGGTTCCCAAAGGTGTGGACGGAATCGGTGAAGAGGGAATGACATGCAGACAGTGGGGTCCGACCCCAGCAGGTCCAGGGGTCCCCAAAGGTGTGGACGGAGTCGGCGAAGAGGGAATGACATGCAGACAGCATTCAGTTGATCAGCAGCCTAGCCAGGATCTCTAGCCAGGATCTCCAGCCAAGTTCTGGTCTGGATCTCCAGGAAGTTCTGCTGTTTATTGTCTTGTTACATCCGTATTTATCCCAGTTGATTTTAATCCTGTCAATTTCTATTACAAAGGTTAGGGCGTTTCTTATCTCCATTCCAGGGAGTAAAGATTATGTAGCTTAAGCATGATTGTTTGTAGTGATTAACTACCCACCTGGCACTTAGTTAAGGAGTTTCATCCCCTCCCTGACTTCAGGGAAAAATTCCTACCTGGGGAAACAACCTTTCTTGGAGAGGTGACCTTGGTTAAAACACACAGCGCTAAGGGGAGCAAACATATTAAGAACAGTATGCTATATACGCCAGGTCCCTTGAAACATATGCTGTGCAGATGTTTCTTTCCTGCAGCGACTATGTCAAGCAGCAAGGATGGACCGGCTTCCGTCAAATTCCCCCTCTTTTATTTTTTAAATGATCATGGCATGCAAATGGTGGCATGCAAATCAGTGGCCACCTCTCAGATTGGGCCATTTAAGTCTCGGAAGAAGAGTGGCAAGCAATGATAGTGAGCATAGCTATAAACATGGTGGATGGAGCGCAGAAGGAGCCCCATTCCTGTAGAAGGTTGCCAGCCTCTTCAGTCAAGGGATTTCAGCTGTCCTCAAGTTGTTGGTTTGATTGTCTTTGTTGGTCTGGCTAGCGGGCGGCGTCACTGTCGACAGGCTTCCCGAAGCGTCAGCAAGTTGAAGGGCTGCATCAAAGGGTCCATCAGGGCCGTGGTTGATGGTGGTGTCGATGTCCGAGGAGGAGTAAGCTGTGCCCTCTGGATCCAGCTGATATGGAAAATGGAGGGTAGTAGAAAAAGAAGAGAAAGCAAAAGAACTACAAGGCATGGAAGTGTTTAGAAAAAAGAGGGAGAAGAAAGGGAAGAAGGCAGCATCCTGACACAGCCCTTTCCTTCAGCTTCCCCTTTCCCTGTGGTCCCAGGTAGAAATGGGAAACAAGTCCTGTTGCAGTGAGAGGGCAGCTGCTGTCAGCCAGTCTCTGTCTTTACCTGGGTCCCGATCTGAGCTGGGCATGGGAAGCAGGAAGCAGCCATGGGGACAGGA